AAAAATATATTGTGGAAAATACGAAAGCTAGCTGAGAAGGCGGCAACTATCGCGTGATATAAGGAAAAGGAAAATTCTAGATAGCGGTGACGTCAGAGAAAAACGGTTTGGTAACCACAGTCCGGCACTTTGGCCGCCACTTTTACGAGCTTGTGTATTCGACGTAAATTTCGTCGAACAATCTCGAGATAAAGTTGAACAACAAGGGAAGACGAAATTGTGGGAATTTTCTTTTTGCTTCTCCAATTGCCGGTGATAAATTCTTTCGAAAAAGAACAAGAGCTGCAAGTTCCTTCGGCAAGTATTCGCGCGTTCGAGATAATTTCTGTCGAACAATCTCGAGATAAAATTGAACAACAAAGGGGAGAGGAAATTATGGCGAGAGAGAGAGAGGCTTTTCATCGAAACAAGGTTGCACAGCTCCCCTTTTTCAAGCGTGGCCAACCGATTTGTTTCTATTATTAAGTAGCCCCTTGCTATCGATTTCACGTCACTGGCATGAAGTATGCATCGTGCAGCGTGTACAATGACTGGCTCTTCTCTCCGATCCGCGTGTACGAACGCGAAAACGAGCCCGAAAGCGGGTCGAGATAACGATAACACACATCCAGTACACGTGATCGGCGTCGATTTAGCCTGTACCATGTGAAACAGTATTTTTAGACACCGTAGTGTGTATTCGATGCTCGACGGCGCTGTCGTAAGATGCATAATGCATCGATGTTGCCGATCATTCGGGATAAAGTGCAAATATCTTTAGTGTAAAAGACTATTTATTTTTCAATAAATAATTAATAATAGCTAATTACTTTGCTAGTTGATTATTTGCATAATAAATTACACTATGGTTAATTATATAGGGGAGAGTCGTGCAGTACCTGCCAAAGCTAGATCTCGCTTATGCTGTTAGTTGACTGCACTATTGATGGAAAATCTGATGTGCCAACTACTTATTGTCGCGATGGTGATCGCGCATTATTTATGATGTCGATTATTGCGGACTGGACCGCACTGTTGTATCAAGAATGTCGAGTGTGTTAGAGCGCTCAAAGTGGTGTCGATTGTTTCTAAGTATATCTTAGAATCTCTCGAATGTCGTGAACTGGCTGTATATATCTCTTTTCGCCAAAATGGGGAGTTTCACCTTGTTGGCAAATCATGGGCCTTTCACCCCCTAGAGCCGCCCTCCTAGGCCCTCGTGCACTCCCCCGTGCAGAGAGGGAGAGACGGTCCCAAACGGGGGTGTCAGTCCCTCGTGGCGATCTTGCCGAAACGTCGACTTTACGGGTTTATGGCATGTTTACCGTTACTGAGAGCGCAGGGGCTTACCATGTGGCCCGCAGAAGTGGAGAATTTCCGCGGCCATCAGGTAATAAACCGGATTTGCCCTCTGGCTTGAATAGGCTATTGTTATCAAAAAACTTGTAGAAAAACTTCTCAAAAGTAACGTCGCTTGGGATCCGTGCCATAAATCCCTGTTGGTTAAACATCATCTAAAGGCTATTTTCTGCGTTGTTTCCTATATTAAGTTGACAATTACCTGTATTCCTTTCGGAAGAGATATGGTTATTTCGTAACCGGTCATTTGACCGGATACGGTATACATAGAGTGTCGGTACGGTTAGTGTTATAGGAAAAATGCGAGATTGATAAAATATTGCTTCTCACTTTAAAGTTTGCTTTTTTTTTTTCGTAGTTTCAGTACTGTTAGCATGATTCTCATCGTACATTAATAAGTTCAAGGTTACTGTATAGAGACATAGATTCGCTAAACAGCCCACGTTTATTGGCAAGTTCACTGATATCTGCTGTTGCTCTCCATTGAAGACAGAGAGAGAAGGAGGAGAGGCACGTCGCGATATCTCGACTTTGTTAGCCTTATTCACGGGTCAAGTACCATTTCCACCGTCTATCCACGAATTCGGTCAACTTCGAATCTCAGGGATGAATTTTAGCTTCTCGTGAGATTGCTCGGGATCAGCAGCTTATAGAATTACTTGAATAATTGAAACCGGATCAAGGGAGGAATGTTACAGCAAATAGCTTTCTAAGATGATTCTGTATATATAAATCCTGGCTGAGGAATTCAATTGGGAAAAAAGTTCCGATATGGAATGTTATATTTTTTTATACACAATATGATAGTGTATGTTAACACATCTTGCGCGGGAAGCGACTAAAGTCGTTTTGCGCGGATCACATCTTGAGCGGGAAGCGAGTAAAGTCGTTTTGCACGGATTATTGGTGGAATATTGTTATCGATGGGCTTTTGTAATGTTTTTACAATAAGATCGGATACACATGAGTACTAGGTCGACGCCCGTATATTTCAACATTAAAACGTGCGTTGCAAAAATGCATTCCTATGAATCTTGCAAAAAATACAGTAACTTGGAAGAATATTATTAATGAAATTATAACAAGTTTATTAGTAGGGAACTGAATTAATGATCAGTTGATAATAATGATATTTCATAAAAATTATATAAATAAAAGTAGATTTTAAAATGGACAATCATCTGGAATTTGCTGAAATGGAAAGTGAAAGAAGCACAAATAAAAACTGGTCGAAACTGGTCTTTTTATTCCATTCTTAATTTTTAAAGAGAAACTAAAAGTTTTACTTAAAAAAAAACCTGAAGTTCAAAAACTATAGCTATTTTGTGCACAAGTAATTTTGCGTACGAATTGTAAAAAATCGCCCGCTAGCCGGTGAGAGTTTGGCGGCAAAGCACCCGCGCAAGATGTATTAAGACGAATCCAACAAGGTGCGAACGAAGTCATTTTCTTTGATAAAACAGACACGCGACAGTGAGGAACGTATGGTGGTCCAAGGAAATGACTATGTTCGCACCTCGTTGAACACGTCTTAACATACACTATCATACTGTGTATAAAAAGATGTAGCATTCTATTTAAAAAACTCAAGCTGACTTTAAAATCTCCCTCACCATACCCGATACAAAAAAAAATATTTACACTACATAACGACCCCCTCCATACCAAATAACATTTGTTAAAACATTTTTTCCCTAACATCACTTCCTTAGAAGATATTTCGCTGTATTGAGATAAAACAGACACCCTGTATACATACATATACACTACCGGCGAAAAGTTTCGGATCACACGTAACATAAAAATTTCTAGAAAAAAGTAAGCAATTTTAAGAACTTTTTAACATTCAAATCAACTGAAATGAGGTAAAATGCTGTTTATCTCCACAATGTCATTTCAAATCTATAAGATTCAATATTGATGTAAATTCACAAATGATCCCACTGTCATTCCAAGTGATTCACTGTTCATTGCAAGTTACACAAAAATTTCTAAAAAAAAAAGTCAGCAATTTTAAGAACTTTTTAAGGAACCTTTTGCCATTCAAATCAATCGAATTTAGGTCAAGTGCTATTGCTTTCCACAACATAAATTTCAGGTTTTGCAAAGAATTAGCAGCAGATTCAATATTGATGTAAATTCACAAGTGATCCCAAATTTTTGGCCGGTAGTGTATGTATGTACTTATACTGCTTGAACAATCGAACGTGTTAAACTAAAAACTAAACAGATGCAACAGGTTGTCGTGATAAGAACGAACCGCATTATTCGACATTAAAATTCATCGTTCGAGACACTATTCCCCGTCTTCGTTTGTTGAATTCACGTGCCGTTAGATCGAGTTAATTATAAAGTGACCTTTAAAAAACCAAGCGTCATTTTCGTTCCACCAGAGCAACCAACACGAAACATCCTCCCCTAGTTTTACCCGTGTACGGTTTCTCCACGGTACTGTACCACAACTTTCTGCATATCTACGCCATCGTCTACGCCATTTGCCTCGAACAAGACCAGGAGAGACCCGGGGGAACTCCTCGTTTTCGAAGTTACGTTCATTGGTCGTATTCCACACGCGTAATACGTACCGGTGGAACGACGAAAATTGAAAATTGTTGGAAATGTTGACGTTGTTTTAATGGGGGAGGGAAAAACGAAAGGAGGAAAATTGAAAGGTGGAGAAGAGGCGAAGTTTTAGTGGCGAAAAAATGAAAGGAGAGAAACGGAGGATTTTTTACAAATTATTTTGTAATTTACGCCTGTAAATATATTATTTAACCCCTTAACGCTCGTGCCCGTGTCTTACACGTGCACAACTAATCCTTCAAAAACAGCAATTTTCTTTCACTTTCCATATTGCACTGTCCTATCTGTTTTATGGTGAAAACGTAAGTTACAGCATTATAAATAAATTTATTCCTGTACACCTAGGAAGTAATTGACAAAAATTGAGCGTTTTGTAGCACGTCAATTTGAGAAAAATGTGAGCGTTAAGGGGTTAATAACTATCGAGGATATCGATAAGTAATATTTCTTAGGTGTTGGTTTGGAATGTTGGAGAATTGGAACGAGAAATTTTGTGTAATTGGTTAGGTTAGTAGTTTCACGAAAATGGAGGAAAGAGAAATTTCTTTTAATCCTGTTACGTGAAAGACGCGGTAGCCGAGGTGAATTTCGTCGGTGGTATTAGGTCAGGCATGCCATCAGGATATCTTCGCGCGTGGATTGGCAATACCGAGCAATCTACAGCCGTTTGGAAGGCAGCCAGGCCAAACGACTTTGCTCCCTGTGCCAGAATTCCGTTTCGTCCTACGGCCTA